ATATGGGACATCTTTAAAAAATCGATTTTAAAAGCCAAATACAAATTAATATATAAAGATTGAACTTATTGAAGTAATTGAAACTTATTTATTAAGTTATAATCAATTTAAATTAATCAATCTTCTAAAAGTATCCCACAAATATATTAATATTTTATATTTTTTTATAGATATTTAAAGAAGCAAGAAATAGACTAGAAAGTGCTGGTCATCCTACTGCAGTTGATTTAGAAGTTGATTTGGGTTTAGTATATAGGTATATAGATTTTAGTATATAAATAATTTTATTTTTTTATTATCCTCTAACAATAATGAAATCATTATTTAATTGTCTAATAAACTTTTTTCTAGTCTTGGAGGACCATTTCCAGAAATGGATATAACAAATCCACATAATGATGAAATAATCACTACACTTATGCGTTTCTTAGAATTGCGTATTCAAAAGCGAAATATTTTACAAGAAGATCTGAAACAGAAACGTAATATTTAAAAATATTGATTAATTGAAAAATATTGCTTTTTCAAAAAATTTATATTAAATTGTTTTTTTAGAAACGAATTTTAGAAATATGTTAGTAAAAATGGAACGGGAAAACGTATCATTAAAAATTGAAAATTCTACATTAAAAGCATCAAATGATCAACGACAAAAAAAAGTAAGTTTTTATACGAAGAATTGAAATCATAATTGTTATTGTGAAATTATGAATGATATTACATAATAAAAAATTATTATAGATATCTGCTTTGGAAGCTCATATTTGTAAAACAGAAGCACAAATTGATACTTTATTATACAGATTAAATAGTGCAAATGACATAATCAGACATATGAAGCAAGAAGTAACTGTTTTATTTTACATTATTATTTATTTGTATTTTTGTATTATCAAACAAAATATAATTTTAATAATTGAAAAAATTTTTTATAGTTACAAAATAAAAATATATTGTTGAATCAACGTACAATAGACAAGCAAAAAGTAAAAGAAAAATATAATAATAAAATTCAAGCAGAAACTGATAAAATGAGTAAAGAATTAGAAAGCAAACTTCGCAGACAACGTGAACTTCTTCAGGTACATTATGATACATTTATATATTTTATACCATTATTAATTTATTAAATATTTATTTAGAATCAAGTGAAAGAAAAAGAAGATAAATTGAAATTAATGAAACAGATATTAATAAGCGATGATGAAATAGATACAAAAAATAAGTTAGAATGTAAAGAAACAATTCAAATACAAAATGAAATTGAAATACCTACAACATCAAAAATCATTACAACTACTCCAAGTAGTATTTCAGAAGCTACACTTTCTACAACTACACCAAAAACTATGACAAAAACTGTTTCAACAGTTAAATTTGATGATTACAATAACCGATTAAGTAGAAAAGTAAATATTGTAATTACAATTTCATATAACATATATTTATATTTATATAAAATTGCGTTACCTTTATTTATATTTAGGATAGAATACCAGTAGTAAATCTACATTATAGAAGATCACAAAGTGCAGAGAGATGGATTGATCATCGACCTCCTGGATTAGTTCCGGTTGGTACCATTTTTCAACCAATTATTCGAAATAAACGAAGTATCACACAATTAACAGATCCGAAAGATATTACAAACAAAGCATCCAGATATTGCCTTGTTGCACAGGAACAAGATACAGATGGTGAACTTGAAACTAAATTATACAAAGTTAGTATTAATAAGTTATATATAAATAATTTAATTATATTTATTATTTAAAAAATAATAAAATTTCTAAATAATAGGGAGATATATTACCAACTAGTGGAGGAGGAGCTCAAGTGGTATTTAATGATATGGAACATTTGAAACAAGTTTCACTACTCGCAAGAAGAAAACGTAGCAGTTATTTGAGCCCCGAAAAAAATTCTATTTCTCAAAAAAGTTATTGTGATTCAGAAGAAAACAATTCAAAAAAAACCTCGCGTATAATTTATTAAAAAAATTTTTGTATTTTATTATTTTATTTTCAAATATCTGACAAATCAAATAAGATATATAGATAATGCAGATATAAAAACCAAAGATGCGAAGAAATAAAATTTTCTTCAACTTTTTATGCAATAACTAAAGTACAAATAAGTTATAAGTATATAATTATTCGGTATATTTTTGTTTCATTTGATGGTAAAATATATATCATTTGTTAGCAAATTACTTTATACAAAAAAAAAAATATTTTTTAGTTAATCTATGTAGTCATATTGTTATAACAAATATTTTTTACTTAAAAAATGATTCATTTAGAGCTTATTATAAAATAAAATTCAACATACACTTTAATATTTTTTTATTTATAATTTCTTAAATGTCTTATGTTAAATGTCCATTTATTCCCGTAGCTTATACAACACAGACTCTGTGAATAATACAAATGTTAGGATAACAGAAGCCTGGATATGTACTGCCAACAGCAAAGTAGTGAATATATACATCATTTCTACATGGTGCGAGTTGCGAAAATTTAAATTGAAATATAATCAAAATCTTTCTTGTAATTCGGTTAAACAAATAATTTACAAATTTGTATGGTCTTGAATTTATAATTAATTTTTTAGATAAATTTTAAACAACTTAAAACTTTGCAAATAGAATCAATACAATAATAATAATAGTAATAAATGTAATTGAAAAAATTATTACTGTAGAATAATAAATTGTAATTGAGAAAACAATTTGTATTTTAGAATCTTATAGAATCTATATCATTACAGAAATTGAGCGTATTTTTATAATGTTAGCCATTCTTATAATACAGTTTTATTGGCAATATGCATTTTCATTTACTTTTGTTATTCCAATGTTTGGTAATGTATATAAATCATATAAAGTATCGAGACTAGATGAATGCCTTAATTAATTAAAGTAATTAGTCATTATATTATGATCAATTTTAACAAATTATAAAAAATTGATTATTAGATCATTTAAAAATATAGTATTATGCAACGGTATATTCTCCTTTGTACAATATAACGATATATAATTTTAAGATATAATTAATGAGAAATTATCTGATATTAAACAAATTTATCAAATAAAAAAATGAAATTATTAAGGAAAATTACTAATTACAACAAAGTTTGACATATTGAGAATTGAATATTAAATATATACATATTATTTTATAATATATAAGATGTTTAAAAATGAATTAATTTAGAATTAATATTATTAGTAATAAATCTACAAAATTTGTATACTAAAAAAAAAATATGAATGTATTTTAATTAAATAATTTTTCTTATAAATAAGACAAATTAGTATTCTCAACACATTAAAAAAATATATGTGTAAATGAATACATACATATAAATACATATATATACATATATATACACATAAAACTTTGTAAGTAATAAGAGAATTCACTATGTAACAGTATTGATTTCACTCTTAATAATTGCAATGTTTTATGAATATATATATATATATATATATATATATATATATATATATATATTAG